CATAAAAATATGCAATTACTTTCATATCTACAGTTTCAGCGTCAATGACTTCGCTTGCCGCTATTTTATCATTATGAAAAAGTATTAGTGTATTTTTTATTTTACTAAGTCTCTCTGTTTGTTGTTTTGTTTGCTTACTTGGATTAAACCTTGAAATTAATTCGATCCTGCGATCGACCAGACTTTTTTTAAACTTTTTGACACTGCTTATTTGTCATCACAATACAATATTTCACATGAATTTTTTATTCAATATATTAATTGAATAAAATATTTTATTATTGATGTATATGAATAATCAATTAATATATATTAATATATTAATTGAATTTTCTGCAAATTTTTCTCATATATCTCAGTTTATTAATCAACAAAATAGTAATCATCATCGCAGAGTTTTGATCTTTCTGTGTTATCATATCTATTCTGTTAAGTAGATCAAACAAGCGATATAGAAATGTATGCTTTCGGAATTTCTAACACGTATTACGGAATTCCGGTGGGTTGAAAATTGCTAGTTGATTTAATGATCGGGCATTGTCAACAACGGTGGATTTTCAAAAGGAAAACTTTAATTCTGCACTGTTAGCAACCGCATTTTTTTAACTTATAAGGTATTTCTCTCGCTTTCCTAGCTTACCTTCGTGGTGTAGTGTGTCTGTACGCTTGGGTCGGTATTCCAGAGGTCCGTGGTACGATTCCCGGCGATGGCGTTTGCTAATTTTTCATCTCTCTGGCTTCGAAAAAAAAATCACCTACTGTCTCTACAGTGTCGGATGAAGTTTCTCCACACCCAGCATTTGGCGACTGGGTCCCCTAAAATCCCCAGTCGCCCTTTAAAAGGGGAGTATATAAGGTATTTCTCTCGCTTTTCTAGCGTGCCTTCGTGGTGTTATGGCTCAGCACGCTGGGCCGGTATTCCAGAGGTCCGTGGTTCAATTCCCGGCGAAGGCGATTGCTAATTTTTCATCGCTCTGGCTTCGAAAAAAATCACTTAATGTCTCTCCAAACTTTAAATAAGATTTGGTTTCTACATAAAAAAGAAAATTTTATGAAATCAATACTGTCTTGTGCTATCGGTTACAGCGAAATATTTTGAATGAATGGTGACGTCACATATTACGTATTACACCGCTAATTAGATGGGATAAATTTCCTGCAAAGAGAAACAGTGATTTACTTACTTTCTTTCTTTTCTAAGACTTCTTCTTTTTAAGATTAACTTCACGCTAAGACTAACCTTTTGGTAACACTTACTTTACTAGACTAAAAGTTGTAAAAGATGTAAAATGAAATTAATTAAAATCACTAAACTTTTAGAATTACAGATTGCAATTAAATGTAGTAAAAACTAAAACTTTTTTTTAAAATTTTTTTTATAATATTTTGGCCGCATGCACCTAAAAATAAGACCGGGGTCCTGCTAATAACGGCAAACTTTCAGTCTGTATCGCTCTCTACAAATCTTAGAGAAGGAATATAATTTATTTTTTATGTGTTATTTCTGTATTATCATATCTATTGTTTCTTAAAATTCTGAATCAGTTCCAATGTGAGCTCCCCACTGTTTCAGTTTTAGTTGTATACGACCAAAAATATTTTGATAATTAAAAATAATATAAATATTTTTCATTTATCAGTCTGAGCAAAGACCGTGTAATTTCAAACATATATGTATTGGAAATTTAGGATTTAAATGGTTTATAAGCTACAAAAAATGTACTAAGAGAAAATGAGTAGAGTGGGGACGGAAAAAAAAAAGTTAGCAAAATTTGAATACAAGAGCTCAGATGTGACCATTATTGTTTCCTACAGGTCCTGCATTCCTGCATTTCATTGCTTATATGATGCTTTGATGAAAAAAGCTAACTTTTATTTCTTTCTTGGCTTTGAAATTTGTCCATGGTACTAAACTTTAGAAGTACAGAGAGAAAAGCTATGCTAATACTTCTGTAGTACCTCAGATAATTCAGGTATTGCTGTACCTATCTAACTGTTAACCCCCGATCAAGAACTCTGAGACTCCAAGGACAGTCCGAAGGTCTTCGACGCTTATTTCCCTACCACCAACGTGTCGAGAGGATTTCAGCTGGCCATGTATGTGCCCTTGCTGCACACACACTATATGCTTACAAGTATACATGCCTTCTTCGTGTTTTGAACCCTGGCCTTTCGCTACGACAATTAGTGTCTCTAACAACTATTCCGTATGGGCGACATCATAATCCATTATTTTCTTCCACGTTTCGGGGTCCACCAGCGACCGATTGGTGAAGTCGCCGAGCACTAGTAGTTCGACCTAACCTGGGTTGACTCCAGGTGAATGGACATTTTCGTAGTTTTCTTCATATGTAACGCTGATATGAGCCCGTTTTCCTTAGAAATTCCTCTACAAAGTTAACCCTGTATATGAAATCAGTTCTTCTGCGTTTTGCCTTAAACAAATAAACCAAAACAAAAAAATCCTTCTGCGCGAAAGAGAAAATGTGAAAGTAAATTTTATATGCACAGTACAGATAACAGCGTTTTTGCTATATTAATGTACTATATTTTGTATTTGTTTACAATTGTTCATGTGTTCTTATAAATTGCTTACAAATTTAACTAACATATTTATGCGTCTATGCTATACGAATATTCCGTTTTGCGCGGAGTGTTCAAAGAAGGTGGACTCAAACTTTGCATTCTGAAATACTGATCTTTGGGATCTATGTCCAAACCAGACTTCGGTCTCTGGCGAGAAAATGTTCAACTGGTAAAACTTTCATAATGCTTTCGTAATTTAATTGCAAAAGTAACATGAATATCAGTTTAATTAATTATGTTAAATTAATAATCTAAAAAAAATTAATACTTTATTTTTCAGTAATTAATTAGTGAGTCATGGATTAAAAATAAAGTCCAGTAATTTAAATACATAACGTGCATATGCTTGCATGAAAAATTCACAAAAAAAAATAGTAATTGTTTTATAGGGCCAATTACAAATAAATATGTTATGTATTTAAGAACTTTTAGTTTCTAAAATAAGAATTTTTTTTTTTGTAGTTCTCTCATGAATCTTTTACAAATGTTATCAGAATCTCTGAATTGCTATATTACTAAGGCTCTGAAGAGTGACCTAAGTCATTAAACTTCTTTCCGAATAATTTCGAAAATTTTCTATATAATGGTGAAAAAAAGCGTGTATTTAACTTAAAACGTTCTAGTAAAATAACATTTCGTTCTACTAAAATAACATTTCGTTCGTTTTGAGAGCTAATTTTTATATATACAGAATGCTTCAGTTTACAAGACTATTTTGTTTTCTTCTTTAAATCGAACAGTCGGCCACTTGGTAGGTAAGCACTCGTCGAAAGTAGTCAAGCCCATCGGACACTTATAGCTGGTCTTCAACAAGAACCTTCGGATTTAGACGACCAGTATTATAGCCGCAATATAGGGGCTACCTTTCTTTACATATTCACAAATATTATTGCATTTGACAGGATTCGAACCTGGCTTCAACTACATGGCAGACAACTCTGCTAACCACTACGATGAATAAGGGTGCAGCTTGCTTTTGTAAAACTCTTTTCCTTACCCTGAAAAAGTCTGCAACTGCGAGTTGATAGATAGACACTGGATAGATAGACTCTGAGATAAACACTGGATGAAATAAAACCTGTAGCCGTGTTTCTGGAATATACAGTGTAAAGAAATGTTATTTTTATTTGTTAAAAAAGGCCGGTTTTATTACAAATTATTGTTTTTTGTATCAAGATCCATATTAATGTGTTGCAAGCATAAGTGTCTCTAAAAACAAATCAAACAATGCATTTGAGTTCGATTCAAAAAAGTCGACAATAGAAGGCCATGAACGAAAATCAATCGCCTTAAGCAGTTTTGACCTAGATTTTTCAGGTCAAAAATATTTACGGTTTATTCTCAAACTATAAAAAGAGGTTTTCCGAACGTTTATCTGAAAGAAATATGTTCTTCCTGAAAGTAGGGAGAAAAAAAGCAGTTCTTCCTCAAAATGATATATCTACCATATTTTCTTTAGAAAGGAGAATTGCAGAACATTTTGTCACCTATAATGGATAAAAGCAAATTTTAGGAGATTTAAAAATGGTTACAATCTATCTGTAAAAATCTGAAGTTATTTCATATTTTTAATTACTATTGAGAATTTGATGATCGCAATTATATCACTGCTCCCTCGAAAGAAGCCAACATACGTTTAAAATTTATTGAAGTGCTTCTACATTTTCAGAATTTCTTTTTTTGGGTGTCTCTGATCTCATTTCTTACTTTAATATACGATGGTTAAAACAATTGGCAATAGTTTAGGGAAATGTTTCAAGAAAATTTCAACAAAACAGTTCTACACTTTAGTTATATAACTCTGACCGAGTTTCGCTAGGTTAATGTAACTGTGCTTGGAAACTGGCCAAAGGATTTTCCGGAAAATTGCCAGTGAGATCCTACGCTAACAATAAATACACGTGTTAGCACAGCGTTTTGTTGCATGAGTAAATCTAAACTCATATTTATATCGCTTTTTAAAGTCTAAATTTCAATTGCGTACCTAAATACTGCATGCTTTGTCAACCTATATTATTAAGTCACTCTCAAACAATTTTAGAGGCAAGTTACTTTAGTAACGTATTTAAAGTAGCTTATAACTATGATTTTTGTGATGCCTGTTCGTTTTTTTATCCACTAGATCAGATCAGGTATACGTATCGGTATTTACCCCCCTGACGGTCGTTGAAATTCTAAAGGGGGTCGATAGCCTAATATGTGCTGGTAAATATCGGCAAAATCAAGATCCCATTGATTTCAAAAAGTTATTAATAAAAGCTTATAATGATTTGTTAATTCATATAACGCTGCATCATGTAGTAAGGAAGAAATCATAAAATAAATATAGGGATAAAAACACATTAAGATGATTTCAGATATTTTACTTTTCTTAAGTACATAAATTTTATATGTGATAAGTGCAATATAAAAAAGTTAAAAGCGAGAAAACAAGAAAAATAAAAGAATGCAAAACTAGACTAGGCGACCCAGAAGATGCAGTGGTTAAAGGAGCCTACTGCGGTACCGAAGGGCCCGGGTTTGAACCCTGGAGAAGGCATGGATCTTCGTAAATGTATACCATTTTTGCGGCATGAAGGCACTCTAAATACATGGCGAACCGAAAGTTCTCTCGAGTGGTTGTTAGTAGAGAAACAGGCGTGGAAGACTCTCGGGCTTGTCCCTCCGGGGCTTTTCATCAAAACTGAGGGCGAAACTGAACAAAGTAGTTCTGCCACTTGTATGGTGCTCAAGGCTCTTGCCAACAACAGGCGCAATCTTGATGTCCTTGTGGGCTTGTTCTGATGTTCCTGTCAGACAATTGGGATAACTCCCAACGCAACAACAAAACTAGAATGGAAAACAAGAAACAGATTAATTATTTTGAACCAGGTGACTTCAAAATTAAATTAAGCAATTTAAGATTACAGTTTAGATTAAGTACTTAAGTTTATAGTTTTAAAAGGGGAAAAAAACCCCAAAGATCCGACTTTTTGAAACTCGAATTAGTTCAAGGTCTGTAGGATTCGTGGATTGTAAAGATTGCAGAATTCGCAGCCTTGTATCAACAAAATGTGTTTTAATTACTCTAGAACAATAGAAACAATAAGAATTTATTTTGCAGCTACATCATGAATTAAATCTTGAAATATTTCAAAACTCCACGAAACCTGCCTATAAATGAATATCCTATGCGGGTTATTAAAAAAGTTATATATTATTTTTGCAAAATCCTATGATATCATATGTAAAATCATATCCTGTAATACCGACATAACTTTTTGTTTAGCTTTAATGTTCTGTTTTAGCTTATGAACTTTATGATTAGATGTATATATCTAGAAATAAAACTTCAAGAATGAAACCTCTAGCTACATATTTTGAATGTCAGAACGAATTTTGAATGTCACAGAAACAAAATCATTGTTGATTTTGTCAAAGAGAAACTAGGACATTGCCAATAAAGAAAAAAAAAAAAAAAAAAAAAAACGTGTATCGTAAAGTTTAGTTTTTGGCTGTAAGAAAATAGCAACAAAAGTTTTCTTCTAGCTTCCCCTTACCGTTGATGATCTGTCAATGCTTATCTGGCTCCGTAGAGAAGAACTTACAAATAAAAGTTATACCCTATCGACAAAAAAAGTTATACCCTATCGGCAAAATTCACTCTCCCAAGTAAACAAACAAACAAACAAAAAAAATCCTTAAAATCCTATATATACTCTTTTTAACCCAGAAATCTGTCGTTTTTCACATGTTCAGTGAAGCCTCTTTAATCTCCCTTCCTCTTCAGCTGTTATAAGATCCTTTCCCCGATCAAATATTACATAGATCTTAATACGCTTTAAAAATTTATCAAATACACTAAGTTACTATACAGTGATAGAGCCGTATAATATGTAGTTTAAAAATATATACCGCATTTTCTTTTCCAGATTTTCTAGAAATAAACATTTGGTAGAAAATAGGCGTGTCAATGTAAATTTTGATAAAAAATAACCTTCGATTGGCATAAATTTTACAATATAGATAACGAAGGTGACTGACATACGTTCCAAGAGGAAGATACGTTCCACGAGGAAGGCGACTGGCATACGTTCCGTGAAGACGATTGGTCCTGAAAGAGCATAAATATTCTGCATTATGTTTTGGCGGATCAAGGAATTTTGAAGAAAAAGCGATCTATGTTCGTTGGCCTCTAAATCGATTTAGTTTGATATAAAATCCATATTAATCTAAAGCGAAGGACAAAGCGAAAAATATGACTTTTGCATTTTTTACTTGCCAGGGTCTGAAGACTGGAGCTCATTATTTATTCTCTCTATATAAAATACGTATATTCATACTCTGCTGGCCTTTAAAATTGCAACACCATGAACGAAAATAAATACAAAAAAGATATTTATTGTACGGAAACAGTATGGCAAGAAGGCAAAATGATTAAATTTGTAAGCTGTTTGGAGGTTTATAGGGCTGCGAAATTAGTAAAAACAGATGCCACCCCTGTCAGTTACCCGTACCTGTCAGTTACCTGTACAGTTTACTTAGAAGGTTTAAGAAAAATCCTGAAATTTATGGCAAGTATTCAAGGGTAATTGAAGATTATCTAAATAAAGGAATAGCTGAAAAGGCTCCGAAGAATTCCGAAGAAAACATCTATTATTTGCCACACCATTGTGTAATCAGAGAAGATCACGATTCTACAAAATTAAGGGTCGTATTTGATGCTTCTTCGCATATTCATGACAGTCTATCTTTAAATGATTGCTTACATTCAGGACCAAATTTAAACCCTGAATTATTAGATTTTGCTAATTAAAGTTTCGTCAATACAAAAAATAGCATTTGCTGCAGATTACTGAAGCTGCTTTTCTACAAATTCTGTTGAAGCCTGAGGACAGAAATGCAGTCAGATTTCTTTGGACTTCAAAGGAAAAGGAGCAACCGACGATTTTAAAAATGACGCGTGTCGAATTATTCGGAGCAACAACCTGTAGTCCCCTTTGTTACTAGCAGCAACTATAAAGCATCACGCAAGAAAGTTGAAGGCACAATATTCGAAGATCTGTCAGCTTCTTGAAGAACATTTTTACGTAGATGATTTGATTCATGGTACAGATGATGAAGAAGAAGCTGCAGAAATTTATGAAGATGTGAAAAGGATTATGATGCTTGCTAGTTTCAATATGAGAAAGTGGAGGAGCAATACCGCCCAATTACATGCGATTTGGAATGCAGCTGAAAATACGAAGTTTTATGGAGACAGAATGAATAGCACTTTGTTAGGATATATCTGGAATCATGAAGCAGATAAACTGAAATTTCGAATCAAAGATGAATTACTCAAGGATCCGGCTGAGGAAATAAGAAAAAGGAAGATTCTTCAAGTTGCGGGCGAACTATACGATCCTATCGGTTTCATATCTCCCTTTATTGTTGCAGCTAAAATGATGATGCAAGAATGTTGGCAAAGAGGATACCAATGGGATGCACCACTTGATCAAGAATTGCAGAACCGATTTAAAACCTGGTATAATGAAATTCTTAAATTAAAAAATGTTGAAATTCCAAGACATTGTTTCAACAATCTGTCAAAAGGTAATCTGTCGAATATTCAATTGCACTGTTTTACAGATAGTAGCGAAAAGGGATATGGTGCCGTTGTATATTTGAGATACAATGAAAATGAGTTAACAAAGACATCATTTGTTATGTCCAAAGCAAGAGTTGCTCCCATAAAAAGGGTTACGTTACCTCAACTGGAGCTTTTAGGAGCAGTCATGGGAGCTCGACTCATCACATACATTCGACATTCGTTGAAAAACATAGAAGGGAAGATTTATATATGGACAGATTCAGAAATTGTACTACATTGTGTCAAGGCTCATCCGACAAAATGGAAACAATTTGTACGAAGTAGGTGTTTAGAAATCCAAGAGAAAACTGATCCAGATTGGTGGTATTATTGTCTCAGCCATGAGAATCCTTCGGACTTATTGACGAGAGGGCAGAAGGTAGAATTCCCTTTTTTAAAACTGAACTGTGGTGGTTATGGCCCACCTTGGCTTGTCAAATCTAACATCGTTTTTGCTGAGATCTCTCGAAGAAATTCTTAATGAAGCTGATAAAATAACAAATTCTGAGAAACGAAAAGGAAAGATGCAAGAAATCTTAACAGCAAACTGTATTGTTGAAAGCAGCGAACCTATCATTCCTATCGAGAACTTCAGTGACATAAAGAAAGTATACAGAATAACATCTTATGTTTTCAGATTTATCAATAATGTCAAAAACCCAAAACTAAGAAGAATTGGACCTGTCAAGGCTGAAGAGATGAGTGAAGCAGAGAATTTCTGGATCGAGAAAACTCAGGAAGAAAATTTTAGAGAAGAAATAAGGAAATTAAGATGAAAAAGATGAAACAAAGCATACATAGCTCGAAAATATTACATTAAATCCATTTGTAGACTCAAAATGGAATACTCGGAGGTAGGCTTCAAAATGCTGGGTTAAGCTATAATCAAACATACCCAGCAATACTACCTGAGAAGTCTCATTTCACAGATCATAACATTAAAGAATGTCACGAAACGCAAGGACACGCTGGTGTTGTAGCTGAAACTTTAACTCAAGTTAGGGAAAAATTTTGGATACTTAAAGGGACGACAGCGTGTAAAGCGTACCCATTAACAAGTGGTGTGATTTGCTTACAGATTTCAAAGCTAAGGTCACTAAGTCAGGAGATCGCTTCCTTTACCAATCGAAAGAATAACAGAAGAGGCAAATCCCTTCGAAGTTGTAGGATTTGATTTTTCTGGTCCTATGAGTACAAAAGATGAAACTGGGAAAGCTTACAGTTGCTCTGTATGCATGCGCTGTAAGAACCAGAGCAGTGCATCTGGAACTAGTGTCTAGCCAAACATCAAACAATTTTCTTCTGTCCTTTAGAATATTTTGTTCAAGAAGAAGAGCATGTCGAATAATATATTCAGACAATGCAAAAACCTTCAAAAGAGCAGACAAGTATTTACAAAAACTATGGAATACCATCAAGGACACAGAAGTTCAAAATTATTTTGGTAATAAAGGTACTGAGTGGAAATTCAATGTAGAGAAACCGGCTTGGTGGGGCTTTTTCTGGGAAAGGCTTGTTAGATCTATCAAGTCATGTTTGAAGAAAATACTCATGAAGGCTTCACTTAAATTTGAAGAGTTGGAAACAGTTTTAATTGAAATTGAGGCGACATTGAATTCACGTCCACTGACGTATGTTAATAGTAAAGTTGGAGAACCAGAACCGCTGACGCCAGCTTATTTTCTAGTTGAACGAAGACAGCCATCCTTACCATCTGGCAAAATTCTTGAACCTAAATCAACTAAAGAAAATTTAACAAGACGATATAAATACCAGCTAAGGTTATTAGAAGAGTTTTGGAAAAGATGGAAAAGAGAATGTTCTTACTTGAAATTAGAAACGTAAAACAAATTCAGAGAGGTAGTGCCGTAACAGATCTTTTGAAAGGCTGTGTAGTTCTAGTACATGAAAAAAAATTACCAAGATTATTACGGAAGATGGGAGCTTGTACAGGAGTGTCATCCAGGGATGAGATGGGAAAATAAGGGCTTTGCACTGTCCGTTTAGCCAATGGAACTCATCTTCGTCGTCCTGTGCACTTACTGTACTCATTAGAAATGACTTGAACTCTTTGAACTGAATACAATGAACTTAAATTGCGAACACTGCATCTATGAACACTTAAACTTGTAGAACATTAAAAACATTTAGTGTTTAAGATAACTTCATAATCCAATCCTTTGATGAACCAAGAGTTCATCGAGGGGGAGGATGTTAC